GGAAACCAAAAGTCATTAAGAGTAGAGCTTAGTCTTGTAATTTTAAACCTTATCCAGAAGAGATATCCCGGATAAAGTATTGGGAGAATTTCCCCTTAGTGGAGGACTTTTTGATGGAACTAACCCGCATTTGCGTCACATGGAGAGGAAAACCATGAAAACCTCCCACAGTTAGTCTGACGGCAAGGGGACTCTCACCCATTATCCGTCTACAACTGAGGATATTTTACGTCAACTGTCGGTGCAAGCAAGATGCGGAATTCGTATCGACCAGCCATGGCTAGGATTCGATCCAGGTTCACCTCATTGGAACGTGAACTCTCTATCCCCTGAGCAATCACGGCTCTATAAAATGCATTTAAAAATATTTTTAAATCCAATATAGGTTAGAAAATAACTATTTCTTTCCTTCTCTTTTCCAAGGAGTGAATAATAATTTGTTCACCTTGTAACTATTTTAATAAGCACTGATGAGTTTTTCTAAACACATGAAACTAATATTTATTAAATAAAGAAAAATTAACATAATATAAAACATCATAAATTAAAAATATTGAACATATCACATAACTGCAGAATACTTAGCTCTGTAACAGTTTTCTAACTTAATAATTAATAATTTCACAGGCATGCTATTAGAATACATAAATATAACTTATTAGAGTACAATTGATGTAGTTCATATAACTATATTTATTGATTTTAAAAATTACATTTTTCAATCGTATTTTCATAAATTAGAAAATAAATTAATTAAACACGCATAAGAACAACAAACGTTATAACATTATCTAACATATTTGTGATTAATACACGTGAGGATAATGGGGGAGGGGGTAGTTTAGAATCTAGGTTTAGTTCTATTATGAAAGGCGCATTTTAGCCCAATCAATTCTGCGAATCGTTTACCCTAGTTTTAATACCTAATTTACTTTTTTTTTCGAACTAACTTTCTCTGAATTCCTTCTAGGTCATAAGTATAACTGATTCTACCAAAAAATAGTGGTTAGAAGAAATACCAAAAAAACAATAAGTAGCACATCGTGTTTTTTTTTTTTTTTTTTTTTTGTAGTGTTGTTTTGTTAATATACNTTTTTTTTGTCTGAAAATTACAGTAAATGAACACAGAAGCATTTCGTGTAATAATCAACAGCACAAGCAAGCACCTGTGTTCAGTTTACTTAGGTCTGAAATCTGAACAATAATTTGAAATTGAAAAAAAATGCATGTTGATTTAAAAATATTGTTTCAACTTAAAATATATTTGTACATTCTAAAAGTAGAAATTTCTGAAACACGAAATTATTATTTCGTGTTTCAGAAATTAATGATTATTGTTTTCATTATTATTTTAATTTATTCATTATACGCGTTTATTTACAGAAAACAAACGACCCTATTTAATGTAATTTTTAAATTATTTTTTAAAATATAATGCCTTTTGAAACAAGTAAGATAACAGTAACTGACAAAAAGAGCAGAGTAAACTAATAGAAAATCTAATTATTTTTTTGTTCCAAAGAATATTAAATATTTTTTTACCAGATACTATGCTAATGAGGAATGGAATACACTAACTGAGAACCTACTGAACACATAAAATTATACACTATTTATATATGAGTGCACAAAATGAAACAAAAAATCAACAAAAATTCATAAATACAGCTTATGCTTTTTTCAAAAAGTATACATACCTTCGTCAAACATGCCCATTCTAAAAATATTAGGGGAACCGGAAAGTAAATAAAATGTATGGTCAGTTAAAATGTGTTTATTAGTAAAAATAATTTCCGTAAGTTTAAGAAAATTGTCCGAAAAAATTTGTTCCACAACCTTTCGTCAGTAAATATTAAAATCTGTTAGGGATGAAAGGCAAATACTCTATTTATAAATTATTTTTTTTCGATTTTTGATTATTTATCAATAATTTGTCTCAATTTGAAGATTTTTTACTTTAATGATTAGAAATTTTAAGATTTTTAAAGATTTTGAAAATTTTAAGACTTTTAAAATTTTAAGATTTTTATAATTTTAAGTTTTTCAAAATTTTAAGATTTTTAAAATTTAAGATTTTTAAAGATTTTTAAAATGTAAGATTTTAAGATTAAAAACCACTTGATATGCTATTAAGAAATCGCATTACGCTTAAG